GGCGGGGGGCGGTTATCCCGGTTATCGGTACCGGGGCTCGGCCACCTTCCCGGGGACATCCCGGTCCCGTCCCTACAGCAGCGTCCGGGACACCCGGGTACCCTCAGGGATGAAGGGGGGCACCGGCGGAGGGGGGGGGGCAACTTCCCCGTGCCTCAGTTTCCCCCTCCTGTCCCTGAGGAGGGTGAAGGGAACACCCCGCCGGGATGGAGCGCGGATGGGTCGGGGTTTTTGGGGGGGACACGTCCTGACAAACCAGGGCTGATGCCGGTCTCCGTCCCCCGAGTCACCCTCCCGGCTGTGCCCGCCGTGGGGCTGCCCCGTGGCACCGGGTCCATGGGGCACCGGGAGTGGGGCGGCGGAGCCGGACTCTGGACCCGCCGGGCGGAGGTGAGATAAGGTTGGGTGGGTCAATGGCTCCATCTCCCACAGAAACTTCTGGGTCCCGGCCGCAGTGACGTGTGGGGCTCCCCGGGGAGGAGGTGGGGGGGGGCAGGAGGGTCCCCCCCAGCCCTTGTCTCCCCTGGGGGAAGGGGTGAGGGTGTAGGGCCGGGCAGGAAACCCGTGGGCAGGGGGGGTGATGCTCTTCCTGACGTGGTGTCCCCTCCTCGCAGCGGCTCCCACCGCCCGGACCGTGACGGCTGAGCTCGGACCCCCAACCCCACAGCTTGGGACAGGGCGGGGGGCTTGGCCCGACCCCCCCAGCTCTGCTCTCCAGCCATGGGCAGCCACGAGAAGGACCCGTCCTCTCCGAAAAGGGCCCTGTCGCGCTCCAACAGCACCGTGTCTTCCAAGCACAGCAGCATCCAGCAGGTCGGGTGGGCTCCGGGCTTTGGGGGGGGGGGCTCAGCAGGATCCCAGTGGTGCACCCAAACTGGACTGGGGGTGCCGTGGAGCCTGGGGGGCTGCACCCTGCTTTAAGAAACGTACATTGATGCTGCACCCCCTGGGGAGAAATGAGTGTCCTTACTCGAGGACAAGGTGGGGAGCACCCTGGCTGCCCCCCCCCCAGCTGCTGACCCCCCATCCCCGCAGGGCTCGGAGAGCTGGGAGGTGGTGGAGGAGCCGCGGGTGCGGGGCAGCCCGGGCCAGGAGCCGCAGCGGCACGAGGGCTACCTGCTCAAGAAGAGGAAATGGCCCCTGAAGGGCTGGCACAAGGTAACGGGGCAGAGCTGGCACCAGGAGCCATCCCCCGGCCACCCCACCGGCCCTGGGTGCCATCCCCTGGGGAGATTTGGGCCCCTGGGTGAGGGGGCTGCAGGGACCAGTCTCTGCTCCCCAAAATTATCGTCCCTCTCCGTCCCCAGAGGTACTTTGTGCTGGAAAACGGCATCCTGAAATACGCCACCACGCGCCAGGACGTGAGTGTGGGGCCGGGCTGTGTCCGTGGGGCTGGGCTGCGTCGGTGGGGCCTCCCCGAGGGCTCAGGGTGGGGGAGTCCCCATGAGGAAGGGGGGTCTTCCCCCTGACGGGGGTCCCCGGGCTCCCCCAGGTCCTGAAGGGCAAACTGCACGGAGCCATCGACATCCGTCAGTCCGTCATGTCCGTCAACAAGAAGGCGCAGCGGGTGGACCTGGACACGGAGGAGAACATCTACCACCTCAAGGTGCTGGTGGGGGGCTTGGAGCCGGGCGTTGGGGGGTGCTGGGTGTCCCCCACCCAGCTCACCCCCACCCCAACGTGCCCCTGTCCCACAGATCAAGTCCCCGGAGCTCTTTGCCAGCTGGGTGAGCAGCCTCTGCTCCCACCACCAGGGCGAGGGACCCGAGCTCTGCCCCAGGGGGGGTCCCGGGGGACGGACCCCCACCAACGTGCAGGTGGGTGATGCCTCGGGGTGGCGATACGAGGGTGTGGGGCTCCCGACGGCAGCTGTGGCGGTGCCCCTTCTCCCCCTCTGCAGGGCCCGTGGACGAGGATCCTGCCCTCGGGCAGTGCCCCTGCCCTCTCCAGCCTCACCAGCTCCCGGGACAAGGTGGACGCCTGGCTGAAGGACAGCGAGGGGCTGGAGCGCTGCTCGGCCGGTGAGCAGGGCTGGAGGGGATGCACAGGGTCAGGGGGGTGGTTATGGAGGGTGGGGGGGGGGGATGCCACGTCCCCCATCCCTCACCGGGCGGGCTCTGTGCCCATCGCAGAGCTGTCGGAGTGCCAGGCCAAGCTGCAGGAGCTGACGGCCATGCTGCAGAGCCTGGAGGCCCTGCACCGCATCCCCTCGGCCCCCCTCATCTCCTCCCTTTTCCCTTTTCCCCTTTCCCCTTCCCCTTTTCCCCTTTCCCCTTCCCCTTCCCTTTTCCCTTCCCTTTTCCCTTCCCCTTCCCTCCCCGGGGATGTCTCTGTTTCCAGCCCTCCCTCCTCTCCCTCGCAGCCCTCGGCCACCGCGGAGAGGCCCAAGAAGGGCAGGAGAAGCACCAAGATCTGGTGCACCCAGAGCTTCGCCAAGGATGACACCATCGGCAGGGTGAGGGGCGTCCCACCGAGCTCGGGAGCCGCTACCGGGGGATGGAGCCCCCCAGGGCCCTGCTGACCCCCACGTGTGTGTGTGTGTGTCCCCAAGGTTGGCCGCCTGCACGGCTCCGTCCCCAACCTCTCCCGCTACCTGGAGCCATCCCAGAGCCAGCTGCCCTTCAGCCTCCCCCCCGAGTACACCCAGCTGCAGAGGAGCTTCTGGGTCCTGGCCCAGAAAGGTGGGATGGGGGTTGGGGGGGGGTCCCGGTGGTGGCAGGTTGGGTGCTGGGGTGCCGTGTCCTGCCAGCCCTGACCCCCTGCCCATGTCCCCCGGCAGTGCACGGCTCGCTCAGCAGCGTGGTGGCCGTGCTGACGGCCGAGAGGGCCCGTCTGGAGGAGATGCGGCAAGCGCTGGACCGGCGGCGCTCAGCCCCACGGCCGGGGGGGGCCGGCAACACCGGGGTGAGGGATATCATAGAGTCATAGAGTCATAGAATTGCCCAGGCCAGAAGGGACCTCCAAAGGCCATCTAGTCCCACCCCCCCGCAGTCAGCAGGGACACCCCCAACTAGACCAGGTTG